TTTTTTTTTTTTTTTTTTTTTTTTTTTTTTTTTTTTACCTCTCCTCTTTTGAATTGCTTCACGTTACTAACCATTCCTAAATTATAAGAGAGATTCATTCCCCCTCCTCTTCCACCACCACCACTACCTACCACCATCACCTCCTCCTCCTCCTCCCCTTCTCTTCTCCTTTTTGGCAGCACCAGGACGTCCGGTGTGGTGGTGGCAGCGAGCAGCAAAAGCAGCAAGAGCTCGTTTTGATTCCCCCCCTTCCAAGGTGCTTTGGAGAGACTGGTTTCAGGCTGAGCAGCAGAAGTCACGATGAGTGCACAAGGTGAGGGACCCGGTCAGCCTTCCACTGCTGCCCAGGAGCAACCTGCAACCGCAGAGCCTCAGAAGAGAGGACGAGGCAGACCCAGGAAACAACCACAAGTCAGTATCGCATAGATACGTAGAGCCGCAGATCTATAGTGTTATAGGCATGTACATGTACGTATTGTTCTGCAAGTGAAGGAGTCCTGGCGACGGGGAGGGGGAGGCTTTGTTGCAAGCTGCTTCCCGGCGAGGTGGTGCAGAGGCGTAGCGAGGGGCTCCGTCGGGCGCCCCGGCGGGGGAACCCTAGAGCTCGGAGCTACGGGGCGCTGCCTGCCCGTGGCTGAGCCGCGGAGCCTCCTCGGGGCTTTCACTATTGTGCAGGGAGCGAGCTGGGGCTTTTCAATGTAAATGGGGAACATGGAGCAGCGCGGCTCCGACCAACCAGCGCTCGCTGGGTCATTTCGAGCTGATTTTGAAATTGCGAAAGCGAGGAGCAGGGAACGGGGCTCTCCTGTCTCCCTCCTCTCAGCCGTCGCAATATCTCAGTCTGTGTGCGCGCGTGTGTGTGCATGTGTCGGGTCCCACCGGACGCTGCTGCCGCCTCCGATCTTGACCAGCCCAGCCCCCGAACTGCCCCTAGATGTTGGCGGAGAGGAGGGTGACTAGAAAGTCGCATAGCTTTTTTTTTTCGCCTTTCGGCCCCCCCCCCTCCCCCAGCTTTCGCCCCCCTCATCGGCTGGAGAGAGGTGCCCCCGTTGCCGATGGAGGTGGGGGAGGTAGCCGGAGGCGTCTTGCCCTGTATTTGCAACACCTTTTTCCTTTGCTCCGGCGCTTTCCCAGGCAGGTCGACGCGACAGGAACGCTGCCCTGTCTGGACGCGGGGAGCGGAGCCCTGTGCTCCTTTCCACCCACATCCACAGCCTCCACCTGGGCCCCGAAAGGGATGCGCTAGGCTCCCCTATTTTGAGTTGCAATACCTGAATTCGCGTTAAGGTTGCTAGATCCGTGTGTTATTCCCCCACCCTCCTTGCTTTCCTTTTCCCGAAGTGCCATTGTAGCATAGTCTGGAGCTGCCGAGCCGCGCTCAGCCCCTGCCGCTGGGCGAGGGGCCTGGGGGGAGCACCCGCGCTCTGCAGCCCCTCCGCCGGCGCCGCCGAAGGAGGATTTTGCCTGCGGATGCAACCAATTAATCCCGCATCTCGGCGGGGGCAGCGCGGAGCTACCCGCAGCCTTTTCCCTGCCTCCCTCAGAAGTCACGGTTGAGAAGCAGCGCTATCCGTGGAGCTCATTTTAAAGCAAGCCTCCGCGAGCTTTAAACGTGTTTACTTCCCATTCATTTGGCATCAGCCCTACTGCCATGAGAGCCTTCGAGGGGCTCAAAACATGGAGAGGGCTGAGCAGCAGAGCCCTGAGCCGGGGGAAACTCGTCTGCTTTGCTTCCTTCCCCTCCCCCGTCACGATATGGTCCTGTAAATTGCACAGAAAGTACTTTTTGGAAAGCTTGCCCTTGATGACCCTCACTCCATTGGTCTGTTGACTGCAGGTTCTGTCCCACTAATGCTTTACCCGCTGATTGCCCTCGACCAGCCCCGGCACCCGGCACCCACCGACCCTGCTGGCTTGTGCCAGGGCTTCCTTTTTTCCTTTTTTCTTTTTCCTTTTTTTTTTTTTTTTTTTTTTCCCTACAGCCCCCTCCTGGTTTTTCCACTCACGGGTAAAGGTGGCTTTTCTTTTATTTTCCTTATTTTTTGTTGTTTGTTTCTTTTTGTTTTTTCCCCTCCTCCCTTAACCCTCATTCTAGTTTAGTCCGTGGGCAGGACTCGCATAATAATATTTCCAGTTCCAGGAGCTCGCATCACAGACACGAACCCAGGACTGCCCCTCTTTTTTTCCCCTCCCAATCTCCCAAATCGTTTTATTATTATTATTTTTAAATGATCGCTCCTTTTGCGCGCTGCTCCCGCTGCTGCCGAAATCCCCGTCTTCCCAGGGTGCATGCTTCTGGCAAGATTATGCAGTGTTCTCAGTCCATTTTCAGTGTGTCTTATCTTAATTTGTCCTGATCCGATCTAAGTGCGATAGCCACCACTTGCTTTCAATTTGTAAACTTTTTTTCCTCTTCTTGGTTTGCTCCCGACTACCCTCGGACTATTTCTCTCTTTCCTTGCATTTCCAGGTTTGCAATTTACTCTGCCTTTCCGGTTTTTTTTTTTTT